AAGGCAGTCCTGAAGACGAAAGGGGGTCAAACACCGTATTAGTATGGTGTTCCTAATAATTCTTTAGGTGAGTGTATATATATATATATATATATATATATATATATATATATATATATCTAATCTTATTTCATAATTGTGGCTATGAGCAAGCTGACTAGTTTTAATGTAATCTGCCTATTGCCTGACGGTGAGCGTAAATCACCTGATACACCAGTGAATCTCGAGGTTCGCACGTGACGCAGGATTGGTTTCTCTTCGGTGAGGAAAACGAGGGAAAGATGCTGTAGTTGAATGCTTCCTCGCCTCAAGGAATGCAGTGGAATTAAGGTGGGAAATGCTGCGGAGTTGATGTTAATCTCTGTTGAAAAAGGCTGCGAGAAGTTTATAACGATCTTCCTTCCTTCTGTTGAGTTCTCCTACTCCCAAACTCACTGTTAGCATTAGCCTTATTGTTATACCCCTCATCACTGCCAGTCCGGACTCTGTTAAAACCTCCAGCTAGGATGTAAAATATATAATAATATAATAAAAGTATATTTCCTAATCATTTTTGCTTGCCTAAATTAAAACAATATGATGTTTGAAGACCTGTCGCCTGTCATTTCCGTGAGCTGTTTTTTTTTTTTTTTCCCGGTAGCGTTTAATCGCAGTGAGGGACAGTGTCACCATTCTTCACATCAACCGCCGGCCTTTATTTTTCACAGGAAAGACAGACCCCCCAAACCCCCCCCCCCCCCACTCCCCAAGCTTCTCCAATCGAGAAACCGCGCGCACTCCGTTTATACGGCTTGCAGAAGGAAGTCTCGTGCTGCACGCAAACATCAAAGGAAATAATGCCAGCTGAGAGCAGCAGCCTGCAGATTTATTATCCACTGATACGGTGCAGAGAGACACAAGCAGCAGTGCATTCTAATTTGTCCTTTCAGGATAATGTAAATAAGATATAATTCCCCCATAATCGTTGTATGCTCCGAAATGCTTACTTTTACTTCTCTGGTCTGGTGAGACAAGCAGGTATGTGTTGTCTAATATACAGGTAATTTTGTAACACTATTACCCCACGTTGATACACTTTCGTTCTGTGATCTCTCACCCAGGCAAAAGGTTTTGACGGTTTCGGTAGGCTGTGCTTGCCACAGTTTGACGACCCGGAGGAAGAAGGGGAGACGTTCTCCGACAGGTGTGTCTTTGAAACCATCATGATGTGGCCTCTTTGGCCCACTGCCACACTCTGAAGTAAGAGTGATGTACCATCCATACTGAGCACGACAGCGGGGGGGGTTGGGGGATTAGTGGCCCCAGCTCCGAAGAGGGACTCCTCTGACACGCTTTGGAAAAGACGGAGATTCTAAGGGGATGATCAAAGAGCTCTGCTACCTAAGGCCTTCATTCACAGCACGGTCGGTGTGATTAACGCGTAGCAAAATATTCAAACATGGTGACAGCTCTAGATCGATACCTCACTGGTGTGCTGATTGCTGCAGTTTTTTTGCAACGTGTGGTCGTTTGCTAATGGCGGCGCTTCTGCTTTGTCCCGACTCTTAAACCGGTGGTGGGATCAAGGACTATGCCTTACGTTTGTGTCTAGGTACAAACTGTGCAAAAGTCTTAGGCAGTCAAATAAAATATTTACGGCTATGTAATTGCTCAGAAAAAAACTATATAAAATTAGAACGCATGCAAATTAACAGTAACAACAAAAACTAACAAGAATTTCTTCTGTTCTCCAAAAAGATACTGATATATTGTTGAATAGCTAAATGAAAGGTTCCAGAACCTTTTCTCAGGGGCACCTTTAGTAAATTTCATCACCAGCTCAATTAATGAATTAATTAAAATAGTTCAATGACTCAATGAGGTATTGATTGACCAAACATGGTGCGCTAGTCATTGAATTCAAAAATATATTGTTGTATTGAATGGATGCTGCAGATACTGGGGTGACTATAGGAGAGGTTTTGAAATGGTTAAGCTAGCACACTTTGCTTGACATAATATTGTAATCTTACGCGAATATGGTCAAACATTATTGAAGATCATTTAAACATTATTTTCTTTGACTGCCTAAGACTTTTGCACAGTACTGCATGTCTAGAGCATCATACTCAAACAATACCCCAGATACCTCATCTAGCTTGGCCCCCATGCTGAAGTAAAAGAGAAGAATTTCCTGAGATCTAAAATGAATTTCACATTTATGCTTGCTTAAACACTTGGCTGCAAATAAAACAGACTCTCCTTCCCCTATTGTCCATTGTATTTGTTTGAAACGATCAAACATGTGTCTCCAATCACAGCCCCTTCAAGAATTGAAAGAATGGGTTTGTTTCTGCAGTTCTCTTCGAAAGCCATAGTGCTGTGAGATTAAAATAACAAACGGAGAATAACAACAAGAAAAGGGGGAAAAACGAAAAAAACAAGAATCGAGGGGCGAAAATCAAGGCAGTAATCACTTGATTGGCACCCGTGTGCCGTAGTATGTGGCATTAGGTAAAGGTTTGTGAGCGATTATGGGATTGGCGGCGAGAGCATGATGAAGATGGTCACGTGGCGCCTTTCTCCAGCCCCGGGACGCGGGTTCAAAGCCGTCTGTCTGCTGGAAGTCTGCCGCTGTCACCGTTTCAGTGGGACTCCCAGGAGACCAGAGGGACTCCTCAACTCTCTCCTTTCATTTTCTCGTCTTGCTGCTGAGGCTCCTGTTCCTTTGAGACTCTCTCCAGCAGGACCCCCCGCCCCCCCCCCCCCCCCCCCCCCATGTACGCATCACCTTAGCTCACCTCCCCATTTCCCTTCTCTCTGTAATAACCCCACACCTCACACACACTTCCTCGTCGTTGCTCCTTTTTTGCAGAACATATTTTTTCTTTTCCTGAATGCAGCAAGGTCAGAGGCATTTTAATGCACAAGCTTATTAAAAAATGTTATCCTCACCATATGTATATATATATATATATATATATATATATATATGTGTGTGTGTGTGTGTGTGTGTGTGTGTGTGTGTGTGTGTGTCTGGAATGAAAAAACAAGTTCAGACTGTGTAACCGACCCCCCTGCACCATTCTGCAAATTTTATCCACCCCTCAGTCAACAACTGCAGTATAGGATGTGAGGTTATGGCAATGATAATGTTACCCTGAGCATGATGATTCTTCGAAGAGTCGCTCGTGATTTTAGTGTCGGCCACCTGCCTCATCTCTTCCTCTCTGTCCCCAATATGGTTCTTTTGCCCCCCGCTGCCTCACCGGCTAACTCCTAAGCACCCCCACCTGTTAAACACTGCAGTCCAGCCCTCAGTCTCACAGGCACGCAAGCGTAAACACACCGTCGCCTGCGTGTCTCCAGAGGACGTTCAAATGTAAACCAAGGACTGGCTTTGCGGGCCTCTGTTCTTCCTGGTCGCTCAGCCGCTGCCCTGAGGTGAGATGGTCCGTGGACCTTTTTGGGTTTTTAGGCTGAGGGCCAACACGAACTTATGGCGCTCATCTCACAAGCGCCTCATTGTGCGAACCCCACAGCTCAGACTCGAACTTGTTGACCAGAGGTGCAGCCAGCCGTAACAGAAGTAGGCAAACAGCCTGGATAACTATTACCCCAAAACAACACTGGGGAAATGTCTACGTGGAAGATCTTATTCAGGCCTTCTATTCTCTGCTTCACTGCCAGTTTGTGTAAGTTTATTGTCTTGGAAAACGGGAAATTCATGATGATGTTTGATGCTTCTTCTGAAATGTAGTAGGTAAAAGAAAAGTGATTTTAAATCACTTTAAATGTCTCATTCATCTGGGCTACTGTTCCTGACCATGAACTCAATTGGGGAGTTAACTTTCCATTTCTACTAGTGTAACATATTCTGTTTATTGTAGGGTCAGTCATAAGTGTCTAATAATAATAATAATGGTAGTGAGGTATACAGAAATTTAGGATGTTTAATACGTTGGGTAAAAGAATCATATATCCTTATATATCTCATTGCCAGTCCCCTAAAAAAATTACATTTCTTGGCCCTAGACTCCCTGAGCGTCACAGTATACAGGTAATGTTAGAATGAAGACTAGCCATAGTAGCACTGCAACATATATTTGTTTGAAGAATAGCACAGATATTATAGATGCACTGTGTTATATATGGCTTAGGGAAGAACAACATACATTATAAAGAAATACAATTTACAAGAACATTTCTTTTTCAAGAATGACCTTTACAGGAAATACATACATGATTCTTCTTGCAATGTTATAGTGCAAATAAGTCCAAAATAAAACCAAATCTATTCAACCATATTTAAAAAAAATCCAAATCTGTATATTTTTGCTTTATTGGTTCAGAATACAGCAAAACTAAAATTAATGTTATTATTAAGGAAATGATAAAAGCATTAAAGCAGGAGGTGATGACTGATTTGCAAGTTTTATGTTAAACACCAAGTGAGAATAAACCAATATGATAGGTCCCTGCAGGAGTTTCACCATAATGTGCGAAACTCACTGAATATTGTGAGCTTGCCTGAAGATCAGCGCAAGATCGTAGTTTAATAATTAAGATTTGTTTCTACCTCGCATCAGCTAGCATTATTCATTCTATGTATTGCAACAGCTGGATACAAGGTTAGAAGATGGATTTATCACATAATCTGTGACCCACAGTTTATACCTGTGAAACAAGCAACTATGTTTCATACTAATCTTTTGATAATCCATGATGCTGGTTTGCACACGGAAATATTAATTATGTAGGAGGACTGAGGGCAACATAATCTCTTCAGGTGATTCCATGCTCAGGCACACGACTCCATATCCCGGCATAACAACAGGCTGCTCTAATAGCACATTTTCTCTACTAACTAATGAAACAACCAGTTTTGAGGCCTGAGAAGATACCTGTAGGTATAAAGGTTAAAGTCTTAGAAGGATACTTGTCATTCCCTTTACTGATGGCCTTAGCATGCATCAAAAACTTTTGGAATATCAAGGTACATCATGACCTTGGAGTTATCTTGGTGTTGCATAGAGCCAACAGTCTGACTGGATAGTGCAGAAGAATCGCTAGAAAACGGTAGGCTAACAAGACAGTAGGGCCGTTGCTCTGAAAGCCATCACGTAGCATCACCCTGTTATCCCTGTTAAGAAGGTGATTTCAGCAAGCTTGCAGGCGTCCTGCCATGCATAAAAGTGATGCCTCTGAAGAATTAGCAGAAAGACACACGGGGCATGCTAAGGGGATAGGAGGTACAGAATAGGAACAAAAATCTGATTTAATTCCTTAGGTCCCATGTTTGTTCTTTCAGCTGGTTTCGCGGGAGAGCGCTGGGCGTCTCAGAAGCCCTCTGCATGTCTCTCAGTCACCTGCGTGAGTCAGAAATAATTAGACAGTTTGAAGTTCAGGTTAAAAAAAAAATAGAGAGAAAGTACCCTGGAGGAGTGCACAATCCCCTTGTGGCACGCAGACGTGTCCTTGAAACGTCTTCATCACCGTCGCAGCGACTCTCGGCTCCTTCATCCAGCCCATCGCTGGCGTCAGCATTTCCGGCAGGTCTGCGTGGCACCTCCTGAACTCTCATCTCCACAAACCAGGAGCTGGGGGGGCGAGCTCTGAGCTGGGGTGGGGGGGTTGGCCCTCCATTCTCCGGCTCGAGATAATTCGGTGGTCTGTTTAAGGTTAAGGTGCAATTTGCATTTCAAAAGCAGCTCGCCGTTGCCACCGTGGGGACGGAGGTGGCCGTCGCGGTGTCATTTAATGTCAGCCGCCGTCAAGGCCTTGATAAAATTAATAGAGCTGCCTATGATTGATAACCCGGCTCATCTGCCATTCCCACTGAATACTCCAGAGGTTTCCCTCCATAAAAGAAAAAAAAAAACAAAGATGAAATCTATCTCTCTGCTGCCAAAAACACAGCTCTGCTTGAACGATCCTCCACCCAACAAGACCGTATGCCTTACCTTTGGTGTGAAAGCAACTGGACATCCGCTGAAAACAAATATGGTTGATGTAGCTTAGGTATGAAACAACTGGTTTTTAAACAGGTCGTGATGAAGCAGACTGTCATGCCACGCCTGCTTGCCCCTCTTATTCTCTCCCTAATGTGGCTTTAACAAGCCACATCTGTTGCTTGTTTTGTCTTACCTCTTGTTTTAGCCCTCATGTGGATTACTCCAGCTGCCTCTCGTTTGCTCCCTCATCAGTGGTGTTAGAAAGTGCCTCCCAGTCATGTGCTCCCCAGTCCAGTCATTGATGTTGCCCCCTGTGTGTGTCCCTAGAGCAGGGGTGGGCAGTCTTTTCCACAAAGGGCTGGTGTGTACGCAGGTTTTCCCTACAATTCCCTAATTAGATTGCTGATTAGAGGACTGATTGAAAAGTCCACACCTGGGTTTGAATAGCTTATCTAAAGGCTATCCCAAAAACCAGCATACATACTGGCCCTTTGTGGATAAGATTGCCCACCTCTGCCCTAGAGTGCTTCAGCCCTGCACAATCCACATCTTTCTGTTTTGATCCCTCATGGCCCTTTGAGTTTGCCCTGCATGTTTTGTTTACCCAATAAAGCCCTTTTCGTTCCCCACTATGCTCATCCTCACTTCCTTCCTTACCCAGGCGTGACACAGAACCTCTGATTTTTTCCCCCATTTTCTTTCCTGGTTCTATATAATTTTTATATTGGGCATCAGAACATTTTGTATTCACACTGAAATATTTCTATTTCAGAGTATAGTTTCTCTTGCTTAGTCATCGGCGGGGAAGGAAGAGCGAAGAGGTCAAAAATCTAAACAGGTTATAATGCATGTGGCGGGAGAACATGGTGACCCGATCGAAACGGCTGTGGGGCATCATTGATCCCATAACGATGAGGATGGACCGAGAAGGATGAGCCTGTAATGAAGAGATTATATATTCCAATAAGTAGACTGTACAGAGGATATAATGGATTAATATATACAAGACAGATTCAACACGATGGCTATCAGAACAAGAGCTGCAATGACTTGATTCCATCTCAGCTTTCTCTTCCTTACATTCCAGTAAATACCACAATTGTATATCATTGCTATTTCTTTTTTTATTTGCTGCATGGCTATCATGGGTGCAAAGACAAAGGGTAAATGTATGGTTAAAAAGCCACTGCCCTTAAGCCCAGTTATCTGTGCCACCTCCTCGCCGTCTATCCCTCCTCCCCTCCTGCTCTGAGATCACCCCGCAGCCCCTTAGCTGACCCTGTCCATCAGCCTTTTGTGTTTCTCACTGTACTTTATTTCTGCTGAAGCTACAAAATGTCAGCTCACACATAAGCTCCAGCCTCCTTTTGTACGCCTGGCACTCTCCTCCCTTTTCTTCTCTTCAGATCGCCATTCAATCTCTCTATATCTGTCTCCACAGCTGAGGGTCTGGGAGGATTCAGCAGCTCTCCACTGGTCGCCCCCATCCTCACCACACCTTACTGGTGAACGCTGGCCTTTAAAGAGCACCAGTTATCATTATTTCAGATTAACAGAGGGGCCTTCATTTCAAATCATTATTTATTTGTATATATCCCTGCAGTCTGCAGCATCAGTTATTTCAGCATTTGCATGGCATCTATTATTATTATTACTATTATTATTATTATTTCCATCCATCCATCCATCCATTTTCCATACCTGCTTGTCCTGTTTAGGGTCAGGGGCGTCCAGAGCCTATTCTAGAAGCTACGGGCATAAGGAAGGGAATAATAATAATAATAATAATAATAATAATAATAATAATAATAATAATAATAAATAGGTAATTTTCTTTTTAATTTCACTATGACATTGTACTACTTCAATTTTGAGCATGACTGATGCCAATGGTTGTCTGTTATCAGGACAATAATGAATATTCTGCACCCTAATCAGTCACATTGCCGAACTGGTGCACCTCATACTGTAGATCAGGGGTCATAAAACCTTTTTGAAACTGAGAGCTACTTCACGGGTACTGAGCCATACGAAGGGCTACCAGTTTGAAATGCCCTCCTAAACTTATCTAAACTTCATGTGTAATAAACATGTTTTAAATGCTTTTTTTGATATTGTCATTTTCAAATCTATATAAATGCAAATGTGATTAAAGAAGAATAGCAACAGGATAAAATTACATTTTAGACGCTGCTCACTGGTAAGTTGTGCTATTTTTAGAACAGGTCCGCGGGCGACTCTTGTGGTCCTTGGGGGCGTCCTGGTGCCCGCGGGACTCATGTTGGTGACCACTGTCATAGAGCCTTAGCACACCTGCAATTCCTATGCACATTTTTGCATTTTTTCCACTGGATTTAAAAACCAGGTAGTTCACTGAACAATTATTACATTTTTTTCCTTGCCTGAAATAGCTTGATATGTTTTTGTCAGTGTTAATTTTTCCCCACGTTAGAAAATGCCTAGAATTCAAGCATCAAATCTCCTGGGGCTTCGGTATGTTGGACAGTCCTTCTCTTCTCTTCCTCCCAAATTTATCTCAAGTGCAGTTAATGAACACATATTATGTTCCCCTTTCCCTCCAAACACGCACACACAGAGACACACACGCACACACAAAAGTCTTTATTCTCTCCATTGCTCCTTTTCTATTGGTTCATTTACATCACCTATTATTTCTCGATAGTGAAGATATTGAAACAGGGCGACAGAGAAAGGCAGAGGGGCAGGCAGCATTTGAATCAATTACATCAAAAATAATTTTTCATTTGCATCCATATCTGTTTGAAATATGAACAAATGCCAAGCTCCTTTGTGTCTGGTTATTTATAGTGTTTTTCTGATAATTGTGGAGGAAATATCAAATTTGCATAGAGTGATTATTGTTGATTGTTTATCTAATCGTCAGGACGTTTCAATATTCTTATCCTGACAGGTTGTCAAGTACTTAAAACTCATTCATTTGGGGAAATTTGCATGCAATTTGGCTGTAATGGATTGGAGGGATGCCGCAAGACCTGGGATTAAAACTAGACTCTGCTTTAAGAGAGAGGTGCTTTCTGACTGTCTCGCTCGTCTTCCTACACTTGACAGCCCGAGTCACCGACTTTGGGGGAGACAGGTATAAAAGACCAAAACATCTGCAACTTCTGCTCCTTCCATCAATTCATATCAGCCTGTCTGCCAGTCATCGATGCCGTTCCTGCTGGTGGCTGTATACGGTAACTGTTCGTTTTGTTGTTGTTGTTGCTGTTTTTCCAGCTTTCATTCACGGATGTTTTGGCTGTTTCGATCTGTCTCTGCTCTGATACTTGAATCTCTTTTGCTGCCTGCATCATGGCGGGTTGACCTTTCTCTCTCACTTTCTCTGGCATAGACTGCTGGCTAACATGGGGAGACCTTACTGAAGATCGCCTCCTTTATCTGGTATGTACGGAGATCCTACCGAGAATGACCCATGGTCCTCTGCTTTCTCCCATATTTTAGTGACACGCCATCAGGTTGGCTGGCTTCGCTTCGCTTAAGCACGCTCTGTGACGGACTGGCGCCCAGCCTGGCTGCCCTCGCCTTGCGCCCTGTGTTTCCTGAGTGGTTAAGGAAGACGGATGGATTAAGACATTCATTTATTTTTTGCTGCTGAGATAGTTCTTAAAAACCCTTCTTAGATCTTGCTTTTGAATACAGTCTCCAGTCTTCTGTAAGAGTTGGAAGAGTATCCAATGACTGATACTCTTAACATGCCATAAACACATAATCAAAAGACTCATTGCAATTACTACTGTTCAGATTTGAGTCATTATGAGCAGGGGGTGCTGCCAGAGATTTCAGGACTCTTGAAAGTATGTCATACTGAGCCCCTAGCTCTGATCAATTATATTCATGTCACTCAGGGTTAGGGATCGTCTAACTCCTCTATCTTTATGCTGCTCCTGATTATGAGTGTATCTGAGTTTTGAGTGTCCCTGAAATTGTCTGAGCTGTACTAGCTTGCCAAAAAAATAAAATTGAATTGAAATAAAGTAGAAAAATAAATAAAATAAATCAACACATATAATGCTGTATTTATGGTGCCACACAGTTTAGGCTCCAGACAGGCAACCGGAGGGTTGGTGACAGTATGGCTGATGATCAGGGTGGACTTTCTTCTCATGCTCCATCCACTGCTCGATTCCTGTGTGCAGAGATGACCCCTCATTTAGAATGTTGATGTTTTGGAGTGTTTCCTAAATTTCATGCGTGGGTTAACCATGCCAGTAAGGGCAGCGGCGGGAGCTGTAAGCAGAATCTGATGGCTGCATAAGACTCTTTTGCTCCTACCACCCAAGAAACCATATCTGCAAAGGGTCTCCATCAGCCCTGTCTGTCCCGATGTCCCACACAGGGACAGAACAGGAGGAATACCTCATTATACCATTTGCACAAAAGACATGTCATGATTATCCCATACAAAACATAATGCGTTATTGAAAACTTCTGCCATTATTATGGTGTTCAGACTTGGGGACAACTCCAGTGAACCACTGCTCGCATGCAGTCAGATAACAGGGGACACCCGCCCTCACGGTGCAGCCACGCTATTGGTCAACCGAACTGGCAGCAGAGTGGGGTTGCTGAAAACATGTCCCATAATTGCTCTGAAATCATACTGGCAGGAACTAATAACTGGCAAGTCCACCCTGAAACATGACAATCACTATAATCAGGCTCTGGTTCATACAGAGCACCTTCCTCGCCCAAGGTAGAGCAGCCGTACATGACTGGGCTCACAACCAACACATTTTCTCTTTAATTGTCTCTCCGCTTACCATACATTTTTAAATTGCTCTGCCTCATAGTAACTGTCAGCCTTTTTTATATAAAATATTGGCATTCGTTTTCTTTTTTTACGAAGGCCTTATTGTGCTGTCTGTTTAAAATGAGAAACGTGATATTTATGCATTGCTTGATTTCTTGGACCGTTCTAATGGGAATATTATGCATTTTGTACATATTATATACCTTGCGACGCATAAACACGGAAACAGGCTGAATGTCAGGAAACCTGAAAGAGAGCAGCAATCTAAAACTGT